ACACATAGGTGTTTTCATTCATTTTCGCGGGTCGCAAAAAAAACCCAAAAATCACTGTCAGGCCGCACTTTGCCCACCTGTGAGCAGACGTAATCACTTTGATTCTGAGTTGAAACCACAAATGGTGTGACCTGATTTATTTAAGATGATTAATTTTCTGTTTATGACAATCATGCTGTGTTGGTTATTCATAGGCCTAATTGTTTTTTTTTTAAATAAAACCTAAGTAACCATATTGATCTATATTAATATATAAAACTTTACTTTTAAACCAGCTTCTCATGACCGGTAATAAAAAATTCGTCTCCAGCGACGTCAACGTCAGAAATATTTTTTAAAAAGCCTAGAAAAGTTGTGTGAAAACAACAAGGCTTACAAAGAACACAAACTTAAACACAAAATAGTAGCGGTACCAACATAACAATATTAGTAATGATCTGACACAGGGAAGTATTCGTTTGTAACAGCAGGGAAGAAGATAGAGTAATTCATAGTTTTATGTTGTGTGATCCTGAAATATCAGGCTAATCTCAGTACTAATTGATGCAGAAATATTATCACGTGCTTATTGAACGAGAGTGATTGATTCAGTTTTCAACAGATTATTATGGAATATCGAAAAATAACAATGCGTCAAAGAACTATACAGCTGCTATTGTTGTTTGGCTTTATTCGCTATACCCGGTGTCCCTCTTAGCGTCAGAATCGATATCCATGGTTTCAGTATCTCTGTCCCATTAGTCCTGATAAAGTGATTGCCACGACACTACCGTTTACAACTCAATGAAGGGATTTAATGTTATATCAGAAGTGACTGATCTATTAGCAAGTAAGTCTGCATTCAGTAAGTTTACATTTGATCACTGTGTTTAGGTGTTTAGAAAGTAAACTTATAGTCTTCTAAATTCTGTAAGAGTAATTTTTTGTGGTTTTCTATCTTTAGTTGAGCCTATCAATGAAAGTAATCGAATGAAACTGAGTCGATAATGTTCTCCAAAAGATATTCGATTCATCTATGAGTTTATCTGTTATATTTCGCAAGAGAATAAAAACACATTCCACTTTCCTAAATTGATTAATGTGATTTAATTTTTAAATAAATGAAGTGTGGTATTTACTTTACACAGGGAGCATGCTCAGTTCCGTACATACATACATACATAAATTATCATTATTGTTACTATTGTTATTATTATATTTCTTTTTATAATAATTATGATTATGTTTATATATAATATTGTAGCTGCCTTTGTTAGTGTCATGAAAGTTACTCTTTATTATTATTATTATTATTATTATTATTATTATTATTATTATTATTATTATTATTATTATTATTATTATTATTATCATTATTATTTTTATTATTCGTGTAATTTGAAACAAATGGTCCGTTGCCACTTTCTCAGAAGTTTCAGCATTTCGTAAGCAATCAATTGTTTCCTGAATATTAACACAAACAATACATCCCGAAAATAGCCCAAATTGATTCATAAAATGTATTTTTTTCTTCTTATAAACTGTTTTCTTTTTCTGGAGGCGCTCTTTTAGAGTGCACGCTAGATAGAAACTCTAGTGCTCGCAAAAAATAATTTCATAATTAATAATAATCATAATTTTTTAATTATTACTAATGTACTTTAATTATTATTATTACTACAGCAATACAATATTATAATTATTATTGAAATTATTATTATGAAATGTACAAATTACCTAATTAATTGAATAAAGTTCTCTGTATTATAGGGCCTATATATATATATATATATATATATATATATATATTTGTATATATGATTTTATAGGGCCTATATATATATGATGATTTATATATATATATATATATATATATATATATATATAATTTAACAGTGTTAACGTCTATCTTGATTTATATTGTATGCAACTATTTGTTTCTAGCCGTACCTTTTGTGTAATGGAGTGTATCTGGTGGTATTTGAACCTGTTCAACCATGAAGCCTCCGTGGTTGAATGGTTATGACGCTCGCCTTTACAGAGAGGTCGCAGGTTCGAGTCCCGCCAGAGGCATTTTATTACACAATTTCTTTATTCGTTTATTTACAGGACTACATTCGTTGCGAGCTATGCTACACGATGTATTATCATGTCCTTTATTCGAGCACTGTACTTACATTTCTTTGATGATTTATATATATATAATTTAACAGTGTTAACGGCTATCTTGATTTATATTGTATATATATATATATATATATATAATAATAATTATTATTATTATATTGTCATTATCATTATCGTATTGTTATTATATTAAAGCTGCTCCATGAAATAAATATATACAAACAGACACAATATTATTACTAACAGTATTATTATTGTTTTTATCATAGTATTTGTGATATAATTGTTGTTGGTATGTATGTAAGTACTGTGTATTATAAAATTGTATACTATTATATTTAGGCTAGCCACACTCTGCCTTACAGTGCCTTGGCCTAGGTTTCTCTTTAAGATATCTTTTAAAAAACAGAATTGTTGAATTACATAAAGTATTCTAATATTCTAAAGGCAGTGATGTAAACACGGCCATTGAGTAATATCTTTATAATGTATTTAAAAGAGATAAAACAAAACAAATCTGTCACCTAAGTTTTAGATATTGACGTGTATCGTCTCGAGTCACGAACATCCTTGAACTTTAGTCATTGTGTTAATTTTCCTGATTCATTTTTTGTCTAGTGCTAATTATTACGTGTGACTACTCTCAATTGATTTTGAGACTTAAAAAAATATTTTTTTCACTTAAGTCTTGTGGTTGTAGTGCAATTCAAAACAGTCGATGTACGCATGCAATACAACCCTGGAGCATGCGTCGCATTGCGTTAAACACGTAGATGTTACTTATGAATTAATCTATTGACATCAGAACAAATGATATATAATCTATAGTTGTTTTTTCAACAGATGGTAGGATTCTGAAAACCTTTAAGTGGATTGATTCAACAGCAACACACTTCCAAAATGAAAAGAAAAGTTTTACGATATTCTAAATACATAGTTTTGCTGGTTACATTGGTGCTATTTGTTATTTCTTTATTGAAAACACAAGATGAACGGATTAACCAACGTAAGTTCATCCACAGAAAAAATGAAATAGATATTGCTAAAACATTACATAGTTCAGAAGCTTTCTTGTCTTACGAACACCCCGAATCTCAAATTCAATTGCATCAAAACGAATTTGTTGAGGACGTTGATGAAATTCTTAAACATTGGCTACCACATTTCGAAATAACAAAGAAAATTGAAGAACACCAAAACAAAAGTGTAGAGAATGCCACTAAAGCCATTGTAGTAACATATAGTACTGAGCAGAGAACTAAAAAAAAGAAAACGGCACTGGCTATTGCTTCAAATAAAAATTTGCAATTAAAGTACCCGACTACAAACAAGAACGTTGACGATAAATCCAGTCGTTTTGAGCAAATACTAAAAGAAACAGCTGAACGTCTAACCCAAGATAGTATCGTTAAGATCAGATCCCGTGATGCAGGTGTTGCAGATTCGATTTACGTCATAAGGCGTGCCGGAAAATCTGTAAAAATTACTAAAACAAAACCACTGTATCCATCCGATCAAGTTAACGATTTTAATATGTCTTATATTATACCAAATGAAAATGCTTGCATGGGTGATCCCGAAGTATTTGTTTTAACAATAGTGTTTAACCAACATACGGAGGAGAGATACCGAAGGATCGTTCGTAAATATTGGGGCAAAGCAAGAATAGTCAAAGGCAAGCGTATACAACATATATTCTTACTAGGAAAAACAGATAATAAATTACTTCAGCGACGAACTGAACAGGAATCGAAGAAATTTGGAGATATTGTTCAGGGAAACTTTATGGATACTTACAAAAACTTGACTCTAAAAACTCTACTAGGATTTCAATGGATCCGAGATTTTTGTCCTGAAGCAACTTTTGTTTTAAAGGTTGATAGTGATATAATTGTAAATTATAACGCTTTAATTCCTCACCTTATCACATCCCCAATAAATGGATTTGTTGAGGGACATGTCCAGTCTTCGTTATTTCCAAGTCGAAAGAAGTATTCTAAATGGTACATAGCCGAAGAAGACTATCCGGAGCCTACATACGCTCCGTATGTTGTTGGACCATCGTATCTTATGTCTTCTGACGTAAGCACACAGATTTTACACACAGCACAGTTTGTACGTTTTTTACCATGGGAAGACGCTTACGTTGGTTTAGTGCTGAAAAAGCTAAATATCACTAACGTACATAGTAAAGGATATATCGTTAAACTAAAAGGAGAAAATATATGGAATAAGATTTGTGAGATTCAAAAATATTTTACATTTTACGTAGGGCGTGAGCTTGAAGAAAAAAGGGTCAGATTTATAGTAGACGGATGGCACCAGAAAGTAAACTTTTGCAACGATTAATTTAAAAAAAATATGCTTTGTGAGTTCGTAAAGTGATATAAGCCAGCATTAACAAAAATATCGGCTGCAGTATTCACCAAACATCAAGTTAGCTGCGCCAGCAATTTTATGAATGTGAATAGCTCATAAATTATTTCTAAGTAAACAAGTAAAGCAATGTGGCTGATATTGGGGAAAAATTATATGGTGAAAGTTTGAGCCAATGTTATACCCAGCTAACAATATTACGTTATAAGAACGTTATAATAACGTTACAACAAGAAAACATGTTTTCTAAATTGAGGCTAGCCATTTTAAAACCAACGTACTGTCGCTAATTGTTAAAATGAGTAATTAGCAAAAGATTGTGGTAGTATTGTACACCTTAGTACAGAGAAGCCGTGGCACTTTAACCCATAACTTTGGCAGTAGGAATTCTATTCCAGTAAATTACCCATCATTTTAAAGCTTAAGCCTATAATGTAGAGAATGTGAATATGTAAAAAGCTTTGCACTTCTAATTCGGCTGGTTATAACCTAATTTCAAGAATTTCAGGAAGTAAGCCTATGTACATTAACGAAAACTGAATAAATTCTGTACTTCGATCCATGTCTTATTGGAGTTCAATTACTAATTTGCTCATCTTATACAGTATGTGCAATTCAGTGTTGTAATTGGTTCTTTTAACTTTTTTTTTCTTTTTAATATTTAACGAGAGAGTATCTGTTAAGAAAAACGGTTTGGCAAGGACAGATAATTGAGATACGGATTGCTTTTAGCAGGGGTGGTGCCAGGATTTGCCCGATGAGGGGACCGAGGTCCCCGACGGGGAGGCTGATGCCCCCGACGAAGGGTCAGATTTCCCAGACGAAAGCAAAGTGGGCGTGGTCGAGCTTCAATTAAAAATTTTCGAAAAAAAATCCAAAATTTTGACGATTTAGGGGGTTCAAAGGCTTATTTAAACGATTTTAGAGTCTATCTATGTAGAAAATACATATAATTTGTTTTTCTCCCCGACAAATTGTGCTTTTTCTCGCCGGCGGGGAGAGGGAGGCAGATCTCCCCGACAGGGAGCCCTGCCCCACCCCCGGCTTCCCGCTGGCGTTACCCCTGCCAGAGAGTATCTGAGAGTACACGTTTTGGCAAGGAGAGAATAATTGAGATGTGGATTGCATTTAGAAATTAACATGCATAAAAATATAATTTAGACTTAATTAATTTGATGTTTGCAAGTAGGTACTATAACGTTAACCTTAACTCCTACCGTAAATTTTATTTTCGTTGTGTTTTTTCTTAAAGTAAAAAATTGAAGTAAAAAAATTTTATAAATATTTTACCATAGAGTATATTAGCTGTTAAGTAGTCGTTTTAACAGGAAGAGAATAATTGAGATGCGGATTGCTATTAGAAGTTAGCATGCATGGAAGTCTAATCTAGACTTCGCTTTGATAGGCAAATAGGCATAACGTTAACTTTAATTATTATATTTCATTTTCGTCCATTTGTGATTTTCTCTTTAAGTAAATATTTGAAATAAATAGACTCAGTATTTTACATCCTAAGTAGTGTTTTTGAATTGTTTGTACTAATCATTGCACTCTAATATATCAAAATACAATAATAAAAACGGCAAAAATAAAATTCAGTGAACAGAGTAAAAAATAAGAAAGGAATGCAGAGGATAGCTCTACAAGCACTGAGGCTTGTTTCCGTAGGAGGTCCCCGATAAAAACGACAGAAACAAGAACAAAAAACCGTGTAATTATTACACAAACCAGACATGGAGAGTTTCTGTAACTCTTTTTCTGGGTGCTCCCATCGTCATGAGTCTGGCCTACCTGGCACCTCCCATCTTTATATATTGTCATATTTACTGAGTAATTGTCAATTATTTCATGTTACGAAGTATATACCGTACTGTATTCGTTATTAAGTAAGTTTGAATTGATACTGATATATTTTTATTCCAGTGCAACTCCAAGTATAGCCTATGAGGCTTTTAGATAACCTTTTTTTAGTTGCAAATACAGTTGTATACAGTAATTTGTTGTAGGGTCACCATTTTAGTTGATTTTATGTTAGTCGAGAGTGCTGACCTATTATTGTACATGAATTCTAAACTTGACTTTTCGTCATTGATTAAATGACGATATCGTGCAATGCAGTGTAAGCGTTTTCCTTTCTGCGGTGTGTCTGTCTATATAAAGCCAGCTTTTCATTGAGGCACGATAAAGGAAGAGACATTTATGTAAGCAGTTATCACAAGATTGTTGTGTCTACTGCCAACGTGGGCGTAGACACTATGTCATGATGTAGCAATTAAACAAGGCGGAAAAGGGTAAGGATTAGGCATGATGGGTACTACTACCACGAGGTAGGGGGCGGTCTATTGACAATCGCAATTTTGTTCAGAACTCGAACAAAATTGCGTTCGAAACTCGAACACGCGTTATAGAGACGCAGCACGTGTTCGCCACGAATGCCTTTTACCGTCATTTGAAGGACGCCCTCTAGAACATGGTAGTACTCTTCGTGATCAACGACATAACGTGGTAACTCCAAGAATTACTCATTTTTAAAGTGTTTTTAGTGTAATATAGTAGTAGACCTATACAAAATATTGTTATGAAAGAAAATTATTATGAAAAATCCAGATACACTACAATAATACACACATCTGCATATTGAAGAACATAATATAAAATTTTAAAAAAACTCAAAAATTTCTGTATAGGGCACTAGACACACGCTCCCGCCGGGAGCCTTTTTTGTTTTATCTTAGTTTTGGTTGCGGTCGGAAGACTGCAGGAAAATACAGTTCAGCGAAGCGAGATTGCGCATGCGCTAGTAATGCTTTCAGTCACTCTAATGAATAATTCATAATTTTTTGCTCAACTAACCTACGATAAAAAAAATCGCGTGCGGGTGTGTGTGTGTGTGTGTGTGTACTACCTATACCATAATGATCAGTATTACTATGGTTCATTAACTTTCGTTGTTTGGACTCTTGTTGTAAATTTGAAAAGCGTAAATATTTAAATTTCTTTAGTTTAAAATCAGAAAATCTGGAATTCTATTATCTTCAGAAATCCAAAAAAATAATAAATAATCTTGATCTATAGTTATAAATGTGATCAAAGACATAAGTTACAACTTACGAACATAAATGTCTATGTGAAATCGGAACTGTGCCAAATAGAATCCATATTTAGAAATCTGTATTTACATCTCCAAAAATACACTTCAAGGCATTTCCACCTATATAGAAAAATTGTTAGTACAGTTTATTCAACTTCAAATGAAAATTACTTAAAGTAACTCTCTGCAGTATGAATATTATTATATTGATATTGCTACAATTGGCCGAGCGGTTAAGGCAGGGGCACAGGTTTGCGGCCGGCTCGCTCCTATAGTTCTGGTGGTGGAACAAGCCTTCTCGGATAAGGACTATAAACCGTAGACCCAGTATACACAAATGCTCATGTGCACATTAAAGAACCCAGTACATCTTTCGAGATGAGTAGGGGGGTTACCCCGGTGTACTGGTTCACTCGGCCCCTGTCGTGGATAGATGGAAGTACGCCGGTTTACTGGCTGCAGATTACATGAAGTGACCCTCAGTTATTATTATTATTATTATTATTATTATTATTATTATTATTATTATTATTATTATTATTATTAT